AAATCCTATCTATTTTATTTATGCCATATATATATATATATATATATATATATATATATGGCATAAATAAAATAGTTAGGATTTTTTGCTATTAAAGAGGTCTGAAAATTTATTAATTTACATTTTTAAAGACTTGTCTTATTTTATTTTATTACATTAATTTCTAAATTTATATATGGCATAAATAAGAAAATAGTTATTAGGATTTTTCACTATTTCTAGGCCACTAATCAAATTAGTGAAATCGATAATGTTGTACAGATGGTCACATACTCTTTGGAACATTCTGAAACCATGCTGGATCACATGATCATCAGTTTTGTTCATAGCATCTCCAGTGCTGTTGTCATTGAAGCAAAAAGTTACAAACTACATACTAAGACATTCAGCCGGCAGCCATATCACCCTGCAGCCCAAGACTGGTCGCCCACTGAAACTAAGCAGGGTTGAGCCTGGTCAGTACCTGGATGGGAGACCACCTGGGAAAACTAAGTCGCTTTGAGTGCTTAGAAAAGCGCTATATAAATGTAATTCAGTGTATATGTAGTTTGTGCTCAACCACATTTGCATCTCTCTGCAGGTTTCCCTGAATGCATGGTTCTGGTATGTGTCTCTGACCTTTGTCAGTTTTGACTATGGGTACAACATGGTTGCTGCTGCCACCATAGGTAAGTGTTGTGAATAATACAGCAGTTTGTTTACAAGTGCCTCTGATAAGCTGATAATGTGTAAGTTCATGTCAAAATGCCCTAAATGTTGTTGTTGGGTTTTTTATTACTTGGAAAAGGCTATGAATGGATTGTATTTACTTAATATTTGTTAATACTTGTATTTACCGTAATCAGTGTTTCTGGGTTTCTTATTGTGTAAATGATTCATCAGGATACATTATTCCAAATAAAAACGGGATTGGTATTTCACAGTCTACTGCAAAATATCGAGGTCTGACTCTGGAGTTGAATGTCCGATTTTCGCATTCCAGTCAAATCATCATGAATAACATCAAGTCATGAGCTATATATTTTAATATCATGTTTCATTCAGAAAAATATCACGTTACTGGACTAACATGAGTTTTGAATGCTGTTTCATATCGACTTTAAAGCATGATCAGTTTATTGATTACTGTAGATCTTTGCATGTGAACGCCTGCATCAGTTGTTCTGTCAGCTTTGTAATATTTCTGACAATATTAGTCGTTTCAAAAGAGTTTTTTTTATTATTATTTTTTTTTTTTATTGTAATTATTTCCTGTTTGCAAAGCTGAATTTTCGTCAATGAAATCAGTGGAAAACCAGCTTCACATTATGTAACACTTAAACTAAAGGTTTAAAATCAAAACTGATACAATAATTAATTGCGTTAGGTATTATTTTCTCACCCATCTGTTATTCCCTCTGGTCTTGGTCTTCTCTGTTACAGGCATAATAAACCTGTTGTGGTGGTTGTGCTGGTGTTGGCTGAACCGCAGGATTTTGCCGTACTGGTGGAAGTGTGGGATGGTGGAAAACGGGATTGGTATTTCACAGTCTACTGCAAAATATTGAGGTCTGACTCTGGAGTCGAATGTCCGATTTTCGAAATCCAGTCAAATCATCATGAATAACATCAAGTCATGAGCTATATTTTTAATATCCTGTTTCATTCAGAAAAATATCACGTTACTGGACTAACATGAGTTTTGAATGCTGTTTCATATTGACTTTAAAGCATGATCAGTTTATTGATTACTGTAGATCTTTGCATGTGTTCACATGCTCACATCAGTTGTTCTGTCAGCTTTGTAATATTTCTGACAATATTAGTCGTTTCAAAAAAGTTTTTTTTATTATTTTTTTTATTGTAATTATTTCCTGTTTGCAAAGCTGAATTTTCGTCAATGAAATCAGTGGAAAACCAGCTTCACATTATGTAACACTTAAACTAAAGGTTTAAAATCAAAACTGATACAATAATAGGCTGCGTTAGGTATTATTTTCTCACCCATCTGTTATTCCCTCTGGTCTTGGTCTTCTCTGTTACAGGCATAATAAACCTGTTGTGGTGGTTGTGCTGGTGTTGGCTGAACCGCAGGATTTTGCCGTACTGGTGGAAGTGTGGGATGGTGGTGCTCTTACTGCATGGCCTTGCCCTGCTGGAGCTGCTGGATTTCCCCCCTCTCTTCTGGGTCCTAGATGCTCATGCCGTCTGGCACCTCAGCACCGTGCCCGTCCACTTCCTCTTCTACAGGTACACATGCACTATGTATGTCTATATCGTGTGTCTGCAGCATGTAAATTGCACATATTAATTTTGGTTTTTTGGTATTAATTAGTTTTTACACATTTCTCAATACTTGGGTTACATTTTCAAAACTCATCACACAGTTCTTCTTACCAATTTACGGCTTGGCACAGCAGGAAATTTCCCTACCAAAACACTTTTGTTTCAAATCAGTTCATTCTTCCGTAACACATAGCAAGGATTGTCACCAAACAAACACACTTTGTCGCTCATAAAACAATGACTAACAGGTAGCATTATACAGTGTTTTCTTTTGAAAAATTCCTTTATAAAACAAGAATGACAGCTCTTTGCTGTTTAGAATTCAGTTTGTTACACTGCAGTACAAAACTATACTAAGTTGTCTCCTTTTGTATAGATGGTAACAAAATTGAAAAAACGAATAATTGTGATATGAATTTTTTAGATTTGAAATATATTTCATTACTGTAGAAATGTGAATTCATGCTATATGAAAGATATATACACACACACACACACACATACTGTGGCCATGAATTAAGATTACTTTCTCTCTTTTATTTAAATCGTGGCTACAATTTACTAATTCGTTCCCCAAACGAGGGAAAGAATTAATACAATGTCGCCACAATTTCAATAAAATGAGCGAACAAATTAGAATAATTTAGTTACTTGTGGGAATGAGTTCTTAATTTGTGGCCACAGTATTTAATTTTTCCCCCGCGTGTCATGTGCGGGGTTCCGTAGAAATGGGTTCTGGCGCTTGTATTAAAAACTAAAACTGTAAAGTACAATAAATTGGTGTAGGATTTACTTTGAAACCATTTTAATTCAGAAATTGCTGCTAAATTTCACAAATGATTACATAAACAGCATATAACCTATGAAATGAACATGACATTTTTAAGTAGAAATGTTCTTGTAGAACATACAAAATTATTTTTTACAGTGTATGTTTTCCTTGCTTTTTTTTTTTCTTGTAGTTTTCTCATAGATGACAGCCTTCACCTCCTCAACACAGAGAAGCCTGGAGTGAAACTGGACTACATTCAGAAATTGCTGCTAAATTTCACAAATGATTACATAAACAGCATATAGCCTATGAAATGAACATGACATTTTTAAGTAGAACTGTTCTTGTAGAACATACAAAATAATTTTTTACAGTGTATGTTTTCCTTGCTTTTTTTTTTTTCTTGCCTCTGATATCCTTCCCATCAGGGCAAGTGCGAGCCGGACTGAGCCAAGCCTCAACTCCAGTGGCTTCCGGCACGTGTCCTGGGGCTGAAGTTTTGAATTTCATTGTTTTCTTTGTGTTTACACCTTCTTTTTACCATAACTTTTTTTTCTTTTTGCATTGTACAGAAAGGGTTGTCGTTTGGGCTGGTTTTAAAGATGTGCCACTGATGTTTGCATTCACTTGAGCTTTGCCTTCAATTAAGAAGTAAATCAGCCTTTATCATCACGGCACTCTTTTAAAAAGGTGCACTGAATAATAACCATCTTTGCAGATGAATATCTTCACATAAGGTGTTCATATCTCCCACTCATATCCGTCTACATTTGTGGTGCTTGATTTAATGGCCCTGAAGTGAATATATCTCAGAGATAGAAGTAGATTGAGCTTTAGTTTTAAACATCCGTTCACTATAAGCGTGCTGAACATCAGGAGGGGTTATGAGTGAGCAGTGTGCTCTGTTTCTGAGACCTGTGGCGGTTACCTCACTAGGGTGCAACACCAGTGGCTACCAGCAGAGGTGCTGATTAGCTTCCATATTGCGGGAAGTCACTGTTCTGTGAAATGAAAATTATGTTGAAAATTAACATAAGGAAAAGTTTAGTAGAACGTTCATATAATAAAAATAAAAGGTGACCATTGACCGACAAGCTTCAAAGATGACAAAAAGCACCATTATATGGGCTCTATAGGCCCATTCACACCAAGAACGATAACTATGAAGTTTGAAAACATTCTAATTCTGTTAGAATAAGGAAGTTTACATCATCATAACAATGATGAGACAGGAATGATATAATTGGAATCACTTTCAGAACAATTTTTTCTAGCTCATGAATGATAAAAACATTGACAGCCAATCAGATCTTGCTTTAAAGAGCCCAAGCATTTTAAGAGCCCCTGTGATGAAAATCAAGTTTTTAATGTTGTTTACATGTCTATCGGGTGTTTTAATATGCCAAACCATGTGCAAACTCATCAGTCAACACCATTGCAGATCATTTTCTCCTTAAAACTGCGGTGTACCAAAGACTAAAAAATGCGGTCACAAACTATCACAAACATGCAACCAATCCAGTCATCTTGCAGGGTGGGGCTTTTTATATTATTATCAAAGCTGTTTTTACCTAAGGATGTAGATTTTAGAAGGTAGCTGTCTAAGACTGTGAACAGGAGTGTGGTTTGTGTAACATTAGCGACAACATGTTATTAACTGTTTGATAATGTAGTCAGATCAAAGGCTAATGATACTGTTACATGTCTGATGTTGTAGAGCGTGATACATAAAATGCATTACCATTCTGATACACTGACTTGTATACGGCCCTGTATAATTCATTCTTCCTCTTCTTCTTTGGAATCAGTTTTTGGTTCGAACATATATGGCTGAATGAATCCAATATCGCTACTTGCCATTGTGTAGCATTTACTACTTCAGTTAACTGAGTTAAAGTGGAACAGGTAGTCCAAACTCATGTGATTGAGTGGAGGTGGGGTCTAATTTGCATATTCTTGGATCTGCAAATATTAAATGAGGTTAGGGTAGAGTTATATTCAAGCCATTTTAAGGCATAAAGAGAAATTATTTTATGTTATCATTATAGTTATTTTTCTTGGTGTGAACGAGCCTTATTTCAAGTCTCTGGGCCAGTTTTACTAACAGCTTGCGCCAGCGCAAACCGTCTTTTAGTGTTAAAATAGTACTGTCAGGATTTACTAAAGACACACAGTGATGAATTAGCACTGAAAAGGCGTGGACACAGTTATTTTTGCGCCTCACCTTATTGAATATGCATTTGAAGGAGTTTCCCTTTCAGACGCAAAATGTATGGGAGGAGAGTATTCAAGTGAATCACGCAACGCGATTTACTATCGTTTGCGCTCGTCAAATTACTGGTATTTGCGCCATTATTTAACGCCCCAAAAAAGCATGTCTTAAATTATTTTGCACTTAATTTGCGCTTTGTTAGTAAATCACCCGCAGAAATTACCACGCCCATCTGCGCTGTTTTGAAATTGCGCTCTCACGCTAATTTGCCCTGTTTAGTAAAACCAAAAATTAAAACATTATTTATCGATAACATTTGACTGAATCTCTGTCTCATGACATGGATATTATGATGATAAATGGTGCTTTATTGCCATTTTGTAGGTTGATACTGTAACTTTTAGTCACTCTGTGCTTCCATTTCATAGAAAAATACAGCATGAACATTCTGCTAAACATCTCCTTTTGCATTCCATGAAGGAAAATCATGAGTAAATGACAGATTTGTTTAATATTTGGATCAACTATTACTTTAATCACTCTAGAAAGAATGTCTAGTATCAGCACCACAGAGCTACTCGTTGCCTGAATATAAATTACTGACTTGATCCTTATGACATAAAGAGTTAAAGAGTGGCATGATATGTGATAGCAAAGAAATGAATTTTCCGTTTGACTGGGATTTTATATAGCATGGTTTTTCTCTCTGTTGCTGCTTTATCTTCGTTTTTCATTTCCTTGAACTTTTTGTATATCCGATCACT